TTGTATCGTCAGCATAAGTATAGAAAATGTAAAGTGAATGAACCAATATTGATCCTTGAGGCATTCCTGCCGACACTGGTCGAATTGAGGAAGTTTCTAAAGTCTGTTGGATAGAGAAAAATCCGTTGCTTGAAAAAGCAGTTGATAGAGAAAAGGAAAGACTGAAGAATGATATAGTATGTATGAGATAGTATAGTTTTGAATTTAAAGAAAACTCCCTGGTGCCAGACTTTATCAAATGCCATGGAAACATCCAGAAACACTCCGCTGTATATTATTTTTGATCTAGTGCTCCAGCAATGTAGTCAGTAATTTCGTGTAATTGGTGTGTAGTTGAATGAAATTTTCGAAAGACTAACTGATGGTCAGGTATTATCTGTCGGTCTGTATGTCAACCAATATTTTGTATATTCATTTTTCGAAGACTTTGGAACAAATGAAGGATTGAAATGTCTTTGTCCCTTTTATGTATCAATTTAATATATGAATATTTCCATTTTAGTGGGAATTTATTTATCCTCAGGATACGGTTGGCATTTACGGGAACCTCTAGGCAGTTATTAAGTCATAACCTGGTGCTTTTCTTTTATATAATTGTTTTTGCGACCTGTGGGGAAGTGAACGACAGTACGGTTGGTGTCAATGGTAGTGGTATATCTAGAGTATTCAGTACTAAGGTACCCGGTTTCCCTATCCGACAAAGCCAAACCTCTTTTCGCAGGAGTACTTACACCTATCGATGTTTTAACAAGTTGTTGATATGCTTCCACAAACTTCAATCGTCAATCGATATGCTATTCAAATAAGTATCATATTTAGTCAATAACGCACTGCATAAGAAGAACCCTAGAAAAATTAATGAATTGAGGAGGAAGGTACTGCCTTATCGCCAAACTTATCATACTTGCCACCATCACATTTCCATTTGTTTTGATCGTTTTAACATTTGCTAAGTGGCAAACGATTAATTTTAATGATGTCCAAAATCTATATATTTTATTAAAAAACGAATTGGTTTCTATCGATCCTGTATTGAAAATTAGCACACTAGATCGCAAAAGGAGGCTGATAATTACGGTGATTGCATAAATGAATCAACACAAAAACTCTTGTGAGATTTATGTGTTTGAATTTAATGCAATCAAACGACATTAGTTTTCGTCCTCCCTAATATACATAATACTAAATTTAGGCACGCATAAAAAAAATATATTATATTACCCCTAAAAGCACCCTTTTCCCTCTAATCATCTTTTTATTTATTTATTTTTTTAAAAGGCCTACAAGGAGCAGTTAAGAATAATTTTATATAGCTTCTTTAATGTTTCTTTCAGAGAAATTGCCGTTTCATAAACAAATTAAATAGCAGGCCCTCCAAAATTAAATCCTGGATTTTATACAGCATATGATATTTAATATTGCAGAAATTAAAGAGCCCTGAGGCTCTGCTGCTAAGGCTGGATTTTTCATCATTTAATTTTTAACTCTTTAATTAATTTAATCCCTCTCGCTCAATTTCCACTGGTTTTAGCGCTAGTGACGCGGTTGTGAGAGTAGCGGAGGGATCTCTTGGAGTCCTATTTTTTCCTTAAAAGTTGGAGGGACGAGCCTTGCTTGGGGTTCCCTACCCGACTGTATACATTGTATATAGGTATCACTAAGTTTATTCTGTTTTTAATTTACTTATCTTTAGGTTATTTTATTTTTTATTGTACATACTTGTTTGATTATTATTTAGTCATTATTTTACTTTTGTTAATTTTATGTATTCTGTATATATATGGTGTGAACGGGTTCATATATCACTATAATTATAGTCCACGTGACGGATTATTATATTTCTAAATAAATAAAAAAATAAGAAAAAAGAAACACTAAATTCGAATTGCACTTTTTAACGTTTTTCATATTTTTTTTTCTATAAAAGATGTATTTGCGCCTGTCATCTTATTGTTGACAATCAACAAATGTGATGGCAATGCATGAAATAATGACATGACAGTCATGGGGAAGGAAAGTACTCAGCAGTACCTCTTCCCTAACTTGTTTCAATTATTTAAGTTGTTTAAGTAAGGATATCTCTCATCCAACGCCTTTTTAGTCTCCTCCTCATGTTCTGGGGTATGTCAGCTGTGGCCATGTCTCTTATTACTCTATTACTATGTCCATTTAAATTTATGTAAAATCGTTGATAAAGGGTCGTTATATGATATGAATATGATGATATGTAGAAAAGAGTATGGAGTTTGAAGAAAAGCTACTAATGCTTGAATATCACAAGAACTTAAGCGACATATAGAAAGACTTCTTTTGCATAATATGTCCTTAATGTCAGGTAGTCCGTCACTCAGTGTAGTTGATGAACGATTGAATGTGGTGTTCGGAATCCAAATTTATTGTAAGGGATTTTTTTCCGTTCCTCAGAATGTTAAGAAGTCATTTCCTATGAATTTTCAGGTCTCTTAAGCACTACTTAATAAACCTTGAGTCCAAAGAAACAAAGGATTTTATTTATGATTGAGAAATAAACGACTGTAAATGGTGATTATTGGGTACATGATTTTTTAAAAATAAACTTACATTACGGGGGCTATTCGTAATATTTCTAACAGTAAAATTAATTTATTGATCATGTATTTTAATTAAAAATAAAAAAAATAAAAACGAGGACATATGTTTTGCAGAATCATTTGACAAAATAAATCAGAGATTTTTCTGTTTACTTTGCCTCTTGATAAAAACTAATAACCAGACTATATTGAAATAAAAATAATTTAAAAAAATAAGAGCTCAATTCTAGATTGAGTAGAAAAATACAGCTGGCCTAAGCAATCAAAATTTAATACCTTATTCAAGGTCTTTTGAATAGTAATAAGCTCGGGTTTAAGTGATTTCTGTTATTACTATTTTAGGAATAAAAATGTTGAATAAATATGCTTTCCTCTCTCTTCAGTGGTTTCTCTTATATTCGAATGAAAGAATAAATTGAAAAATCTCAAGCTGTTATTGAACTCTTATAAAAATAGAAAAATGAAATGTTTTGACCGAATAATCATTGCCGGTTCAGTGGTTCGGAATTAAACTTTTCAAGTATGTATCAAAAGGAAGTATAAATTAAAAAAAATCACTTAAGAAGTATTTACTTACAGAGTACTATTAATGTTTCTTTTTTTTTCAAAAATTAAAATGAATATTGTAGATGAATCAGTTTAGTTTTAATGCTCTAATAATCACTATATACAACAGCGCATTTCTCATTAAATTCTGGTTTCTTATTAGTTTTTATTCGTGTGGAACACCTACAAATAATTAAGGTAGAACAGTTTATATTTTTATTTATTTCAACTCATTTCAGTTTATTGAGGGTTGATGGTTGATTATAGTGAATAATTGAAGAGAAGGATGGTTGAGGTGATCAGTAAAAATAAAATTCACTCCGTCTACTTCATTTTACGTTAAATTTTTCAACCTAAATTTTTAATCTATGTCCACACTATGGAAAATTCAACTTAATCATGACAAATCCGAATACACAACATTTACTCTTCGAAAAAAACACCTGCCCTCCAGTTTATATTGACAAAAATCAAATTCCTCAAACTGACACGGTACTTTACCTTAGAATCACCTTCGACATAAGGATGACATGGGGTCCGCATGTTAAAATGAAATGTAAGACACTTAACAAACGACTCAAACTACTTTACTCTCTTTTTTCTAAATCTTCAAAACTAAAACTAAAACTGAAAAACTGAATACGTATACATACTTACTTAAACCCATATGAACGTACTCATCACAAATATACGGTATCGCTAAAAAGACCCACTTACAAAAACTTCAAACGTTCCAATCAAAATTATTGCTACTCATAACAAAAGCACCTTGGTACGTGACTAACAAAACTCTTTGTGATTTTACACAAATTTAAACGGACACAATAACAGACTAATAAGAGACATGGCCACAGCTGACATACCACAGAACATTAAGCAACCTCAGTAATTGGAACAAGTTAGGAAGGAGGTACTGCTGAGCGCTTTCCTTCCCCATGACTTTCATGTCATTATTTCATGTTTCGACATCACATTTGCTGATTGTCAACAAAAAGTTGACAGGCGCAAATGCATTTTATAGACACAAAAAAAAAAAAAAAATAGTCTATACCTTTCACCTTTTCTTTATTATTCAGTGTCTATAGTTTTTATTACCTATTGTTATCCGGTTCTTTTCCTGAAGGCCTGAACTTTGGGCTGAAACATCGGCAAATGTGAAAATTAATACAATTATTTATTTTTACTATTTTATTTTGACTGATCACCACAACCATCCTTCTCTTCATTTCAGTTTACGTTCGAAAATAAATTAAGAAATTCGTAATTAACCTAATGATTTTTTATGTAAGAAATCCATTACACATATCTTAAAAATATATACTTCCTGAATTATTTGTAAATAATGAATTTGAAAATATTTTATACAGTTAAACATTATACTTCCTAATTCTGGCTCCATTGGGATTGAATATTAATGCGGTAGAACATTTTTCCTTTAGGTTTATTGGACACAAGTAAACAATATTTCATGCATGTGTCAGCATTTCGGGTATCGAGGTCTTTTTTTAATAATTATTCGAAAATACCACCATTGCCTTATAACATTTTCGATTACCTCTTTGAAAGGCTACAGTTGTCCTACTGTTCATATAAAAATCAGATATATTTTTTTATTTTCCTGCGTGCATCCTTCTACTGGAGTTCGGCCAGTTACTCCAGACCCACTCTGTATATTGGATAAAAAAAATCGTAAAATGTGATGTTACAGACGTAAACTACTAATCAATCTTAAACTGTGATAAATATTAAATATCAATTAAGAAAATGAATTTTACGCAACTACGATTGAACCGAACGTAGTTGGTTGGCCTAGAAAGAAAATATCAGTGATAAATTAATCAATGTTTAAACGATAAATTTATCTAATATGTTACCGAAACGTAGATGGGAGATATAGTTCTCTTGACAGGACTCATTACTGGGTAATTAAGTTATTGGTAGCTACAGTTTGGCTATGATTTTGTATTGTAAATACGTTTTCCTAAATAATTTAACATTATTCTATCTATTTCTAGCTGTGAGTTTTATTTATTCACTTTGTTACAGAACTGCTAAGTACCAGCCTGAGGCGGCTGGAAAAGACGGCCTGCGAACAGCTGAGTCTCTCCTGCCCCCAGGGTACTTCTATATCTTTGTTATCGGCAAAGTACAGTCAGGGAATGCTTTGTCCTGGGTCTACTGAAGCCTGCCAACTCCCAGCGTCTCTGCAGGTACCATTGAGTTATATTTTATAGCCAGATTATAAAAATAAGTAATCTTAATAATTGGTAAATTGTTGACTGTCGTGAATAATGGAGAGAAGAATAGTTGGGGTGATCAGTCAAATAAGAAGGCAAATACAATACTTTGTACTTACATTCGACAGAAGAATTATATGGGGTCCACAAAAAAATGAAAAACGTTAAACCTCAGACTACGACTATTATACTTTGAGTACCAATTATTAGAATACTTTAGCGTCTATTTGAATTCTTTAGTGGTTCCCGTGTTAGTTGATACAGCGTAATAATGAATTAGGACATTTATCGGTTTCATGTTTATCCGAATATATTCTACATCGTATTATTGTACTTTTGTACTGCGTAGTGTAATAGCCGTATCGTAAACATGAGTAGCATTGTATTTCGGATAGGATGTATGGCTGGACTTCGCATCTCACATGGTGTATCGTGATAAATCGAGGAATAATTTGATCTCTGAACAATTCTATTCGAGTATTTTTTTTAATTGAATAAATAAGTTATATGTTATTTTATTATTATTATTATTATTTCATTATCTAGTTTTATATAACTCCAAGGCCCCAAAACCCACTATTTCATTATTATTTTGTATTCTAAAGAGACTTGCCCCAGAATAAATAAAGCATATTATTAATGTAACTTTTCACTATAAGCTAAGGCGTTTATTCAAGCTGCAGTCGACAATTTTTACTAAATAAATTAGTCATAGTTAGCTTGAAAAGAGTTAATAAATGATACTATTTATTTTGACATTAGCCGACGTTTCGACCTGAACTTTTTTCTTTTCTTAGCCCTGATGATGGCCTGAAATTCAGGTCGGAACGTCGGCTAATGTCAAAATAAATAGTATCATTTATTTTTGCCTTCTTATTTGACGGATCACCCCTACTATTCTTCTCTCCATAAGTAATGTTAGGTAGTCGAAATAATGTTGGACATAATTAATAGCAACCAGACATGTTTTGAAAAATATTAAATATCGCTGGTAAATGTTATTCACAGTTTTATTGTTGTAAATTAAAAGCTTCCTCTTTGCCCCTTTGGAGCGGTCTCTTCTTAGATTTTCTAATTAAATTTAGCAGTTTTAAAATGCCAATCTGTAGATAAATTTTATAAGGTTTCTAAAAGTCGATAAAATATGTCATCAAAAATATTTAAGAGTTTGGCGTGACCTAAAATCCTAAATTATCAAAATAACGAGGTTATGTAGGTCAAACGGCCCAATATTTTTGTAGGTCACCTTTTTTTTATCGATTTTGTGATCAAATTATCTTACGATCCAAATAGAAAGCAAAGGGGTATTGGGAGCGTTTTCAATCTGTAGGACGGCAAACTTTGTCTATTTAATTAGGTCTGCATCCTCACCTGATCGTCCCAAAAAACACCTCAGTATAAATCCTCTACCCCAAGACCTATTGGACCTTATCCATAGCAAACGATGCTCTAGGGCCCTCTGGCAAAGAACCAGGCATCCTGATGACCGGAAATCGTATAATTATTATTCCAAACAGGTAAAAAAGAAACTGGATATCGTTAGAACCCAATCCTACAATTCCTACCTTTCCTCATTATCATCTAGTGATAACTCCCTCTGGACTGTAACTAAAAAAATCCTTAAATTCCAATCCATTTCCCACCCCCTCCGCCGTGATGATGGTTCCTGGGCTTCGTCAGATGCGAATAGAGCTGAATAGTTTGCTAAACATCTATCCTACACATTCACTCCCCATCCCGAACTCCATCCCACCCACACTGCTGAAGTTAAAGAATTTCTCTCTTCACCAATTCCTCTCTCTCTACCTCCAAAACCTGTTAACCCCTCTGAGGTAAAATTCCTCATAAACAAATTAAAACCCCGAAAATCCCCTGGATATGATCTCCTCACTTCACAAATCCTCAGACAACTTCCCAAAAAAACAATCATATTCCTTACCTATCTATACAACTGCATCCTTCACACAACCAACTTTCCTTTGGTGTGGAAACATTCCATAATTGTGCTGTTTCCAAAACCAGGCAAACCCGTTAATAACACATCATCCTACAGACCGATAAGCTTACTCCCTATCCTCTCAAAAATCTTTGAGAAAATCCTCCTCAAACGGATCCTACCCATACTCGAATCCCACAACATCCCTTCTCATCAATTTGGATTCCGCTCAAGACATTCCACTGTCCAACAAGGCCTTCGTGTTGTGGACCATATATCCTCTGCACTTGAAAACAAGCAATATTGCACTGGTGCCTTTCTGGACGTAGCGCAAGCTTTCGACCGGGTGTGGCACGATGGCTTGCTTTTCAAGCTCAAAACCCATTTACCCCAATCCTTATACCTAGTCCTCAAATCCTATCTCTCAAATCGTTCCTTCCAAGTCCGTTGCTGCACCGAATTCTCCACTTACTATCCAGTTGAGGCTGGTGTTCCACAAGGCAGTGTTTTGGGTCCAGTTCTCTACATCCTTTTCACTGCCGATATCCCTTCAAATCCCGATACCTTCCTAGCTACATTTGCTGATGATACTGCCATTCTATCTTCCCACTCAGATCCTCAAATAGCATCTCTAAACCTTCAATCTCACCTCTCCTTGATTGAACAGTGGTGCAACAACTGGCGCATCAAAATCAATGAAGCAAAATGCAAACATATTACTTTCACCCTGCGACGCAGATCCTGTCCCACAATCCTTTTCAATTCAATACCACTTCCCTACTCAGATACAGTCCGTTACCCTGGCTTCTTTCTAGACAAAAGACTAACTTTGAACCCACATACAAGACTTAAAAGACAAGAACTTAACCAACGATATGGCCAGCTATATAGACTACTAAGCAGGACACCTCATCTTTCGATTGAAAATGACAATACTGAAACCTATCTGGACCTACGGACTTGAACTGTGGGGAACTGCTAAACACTCGAATATCAAACGCATCCAATCCTTCCAGTCTAAAGTACTTAGAACAATAGTCAATGCCCCATATTATGTCACAAATAAGACCCTACACCATGACCTTAACATCCCATTTGTCCTGGACATCATCCCATCCAGATTCTCAAACTTTCTCCAGAACCTTATCCATCATCCAAATCCTCTAGCTCAATCCCTATCCAGCTCCCACCATCCCTACAATCCCCCTCGAAGGTTAAAACGGCAGTGGCCGCGAGATCTATTGTAAATATGCTTCTGGAGTCCTGGCAATGGCCAGCTTCTCCACTCAAGTCCTGAGCATCTGTGGCTCTAGTGCCCTCCTTCAGCCTCCACTGGCTTTTAATACTAGTGATGCGGCTGGAAAAGTGGCACTGGGATCTCTGGAGTCCTGCTTTGCTTTCCACATGTGGGGAGAAAAGCCTGGCTCGGAGATTCCTGGGCGAATGTATATATTGTATATAGGTACGAATGTGTTTAGAAGTTGTTATTTTATTTTGTTTGTTTATTTATGTTTTTTTTAATTTTATTTATTTATTTATTTTTTTCCTATTGATTACTTTTTTTTCTCTTCTTTTTTTTATAAGTATTATTTATTTACTTCTTATATTTATAGTTACTTCTGTATTACTTGTATATACTGTATGAATGAGAACTTCTAGCCTTAATACTTATAGCCCTCCAACAGTGGCTGATTGTATTATTATTCAATAAAAAAAAAAAAAAAAAAATTAATTAGGTACTAAAAACTCGTAAATTCCCATTTGCTTTCCACTTGAATCGTAAGATAACTTGAAGAAAAAGTCGAGATAAAATGTGGCCTTTAAAAATATTTAACTGTTTAGCGTGACTTAAAACCCCAAATTGTCGAAATAACGAGGTTATGTAGGCCAAACGGCCCAATATTTTTGAAAGGTCACCTTTTTTTATTGATTTTGTGATCAAATTATCTTACAATCAAAGCAGATAGCAAATGGGTATTTACGCAAATGGGTTTTTAGTACCCATTAAAATAAAAAAAGTTTGCCCCCTCTAGATTGAAAACGCCCCAATTCCAACATTTTTTGTAAATAAAATAGTTGTAGGTTACGATGAAATAAAACTATTTACGAAGGTTTAGGCGGATGTTAATAATTGGATAAAAAGGGGTCTGTACCATGAAGTAATACATTTTATAAGTAATTATTATATATATTTAAAATCACGAAATCTACATCTAGTGACCAAGATAATGATTTCCATTGCAACAAAGCCACAAGGCTAGCTGACCACTATTCTAGGTACCATTGATAATTATCTGTCAGTTGCAGATTGGAGGTATGATTACCTTCGGAAACCGTCAAAGGGTTTCTCCTTGCTCATCATGGACAGCAATATTGGTTTCATGCTAATATTTGTTTCATTCTGGACTGCTGTTTCCAGAGGTTTCATAATTTTTATATTTCGACTTGGATCTTTAACGAGTCTGTGTTGACATATTCAGCTTTGTGTAACTTTATCTTTAGCTATTTTTAAACTAAGTATGACTAATTTATTTAGTAAAAATTGTCGATTGAAGCTTGAATAAACGCCTTAGCTTATAATGAAAAGTTATATTAATAATATGCATTATTCTGGGGCAAGTCTCTTTAGAATATAACATAATAATGAAATAGTGGGTTTTGGGGCCTTGGAATTATTTAAAAATAGATAATGAAGTAATAATAACCACAATAATAATAAAAAAATAGCATTTAACTTATTTATTCAATTAAAAAAAAATCGTTCAGATATCAAATTCTTCCTCGATATATCACGATACATCATTTGAGATGCGAAGTCCTACCATTCACCCTATCCAAAATGCAATGCTACTCATGTTTACTATACGGCCATTACACTACGCAGTGCAAAAGTACAATAATGAGTTGTAGAATATGTTCGGATAAACATGAAACAGATAAATGCCCTTATTCATTATTACGCAGTATCAACTACCACGGGAACCACTCCTCTGTGGCTAAAGAATTCTAATAATTGGTACTCAAAGTATAATAGTCGTAGTCTGAGGTTTAACGTTTTTTATTTTTTTGTTGATATGTGGACCCCATATCATTCTTCTGTCGAATGTAAGTACAAAGTATTGTATTTGATCTATTCGGGGAATTTCAGCATTGTCAAGATACATAGGAGGGCATGTTTCACGCCTAAGAATAAACGTAATGTGTTGTGATTTGTCTCGGTTGAGTCGAATTTTCCAAAGTTTGTACTAATCTTTTAGTTTTGTTAAATGCTGTTGTAAAATCTGTGAGGCGTGGGTAGGATTTTTAAGTTTTATCACAATTGCTGTATCGTCTGCGTAAGTCACTGTAATAGTTCCGGCGCTGTTAGGAATGCCGTGTGTGTATATGATGTATAGAAGTGGAGCGAGTACTGACCCCTGAGGAACTCCTGCTAACGCTAGCATTATTGACGAAAATTCTGAGTCTTTGCAGACAGAGAAAACTCTGTCAGATAAAAAGGATTGGAGGGTATGATAGAAGGTAGGAGGGAGCATCATCTTCAGTTTGAAGAGATGCCCCTTATGCCTGACTCTGTCAAATGCTTGAGCAGCATCCAGGTATACTCCAGTTGCTCTAGTGCCGTCGTAATGTAGTCAGTCACTCTGAGTAATTGATGGATGGTTGAATGCTGTGTTCTGAATCCATATTAATGGTTGGCTTTCCGTCACTATGTTAATAAGTATATTTTATAGTAGTCTTTCAAAGATTTTAGGACTTATTGGGAGCTGGCCAATTGACAGTGGCTACAATACCATCATTTTTAAACAGCTCAAAGAGCTCGTCATTTTTCCGTATTCGCCACTGGTCATTTGTTTTCTTCGTACCGTATATTTTCCTTAGAACTTTTCTCTCCCATATTATCAACAACCTTTCATTTTCCCACGTTTCACACCCGTAGGTGATGACTGGCCTTACAATGGCTTTATAAATCGTTACTTTTATATTCCAGCTCAGTTCCTTGGATTTCAGTATTTTTGCCAGGGCAAAAAAACACTTGCTGTAATTCTGGCCTTTATTTCAGCCTGCATTTTGTTCTGCTCAGTGACTATTATTCCGAGGTATTTGAACTCTGTTCCCATTGGAAAGAGGTGCTGATTAATTTGAACATATTCATGCATAGCTAGATTATTCCTTGAGGACTTCATGTAAAGACTTAGTCCTTAGTCCTTCAGTGAAGAAAAAATTAAGTAGGTCTGGTGTTTTCTGTCATGGAGTTGAATTTGAAGTTGAATTAAAAATGTAAATTATAATGTTAAAGCTGCAATTCTAAGTAGAGATGTTCTACTACTTATTCAATAGTGTTAATTGTGTACTATTTTTAAATACCCATTGTAATAACAATAAGATAAGAGTTTATAAGTTTATATTTTTGTATATTACAGCTGAATTCTATTATTTTGTATCAATATATAAGATATTTAGTATGATAAAGAATTGGGGTCTAACGGGAGAGCAGTACTCTCTGTTACAGACCGCCGTGGAGCGGTGCCAGAAGAAGAGGCACTGCAGACTTCAGCCATCGACTAACGGGTTCACAACCGACCCTTGCCCTGGGGTCGCCAAGCACATGCAGATAGTCTACAACTGCAGGCCCTGTGAGTAGTTTACTTGAAAGTATTAATATATTACTTAAATTAATTTACAAAAATACATAATTGACAGTACAATCGAATGTAAGTAGATTTCGAAAAAATAAATAAATAATAGAAATCAACAGTTAAAATATCGAAATTAAGTACTTGGTAGGCTTGTCATTCAATCATTTCACATCAAAAGAGTTCACGAGTCATGTAAAGTTCGAAAATCGATTCGTTCGATCATGGCAGAAGTTCCACAAGGTTTAATACTGGTCCCTTTATTTTATATTTTATAAACTTACCACATTGCGTTTTGACAATAAGACATTAACAGCTACTAACGCTGACGGTACGCTCTGAAAATATCTTAACAAAGATAAAATATTTAAATTATTGGTTCTTCTTCATTTTGTAAATTGCCTCCGCTGGCATTTAATGCCAGTGAAGTGGTTGAGGGAGAAGCGCAGCGATCTCCTAAAGCCTTGCTTTTCCCTCCACAAGTGGGGAGACAAGTCTGGTACGGAGGTACAACCACGGCCGATTGTAAATACTGTAAATAGGTATGCCTGCGTCTAAGATGTTTATTTTTATTACTTTTTTTAAAGAGCATATTAATACTATTTTATTTATTTATTTTTATTTTACTATTACTATTATTTATATTTCCTTCCCTGATTTTTATTATGATATTTTTTTTCTTATTTCGCTGTATATTATTTTGAAATTACCTTTTTTATTTTTTGATTTTGTAATTATGGCATCAATGTGCTCTCTGAACTCTATTATAAGTGTCCTTTATTGAGACAGATTTTAATATTTATCAATAAACAAAAACTAACTGTCATTTTGTAAATTATACATCTATTTATTTAAGTGTACTACTCGTTGCTCTAAATGCATACCATTAATTTACAAATATTCTGTTGTACAGATTGTATTATTTTTTACCAACATAAGATAAAGGGAACGAAATATTTCGGAAAATTTTAAATTTCTACATTATACATCGCACATTATTTTGAACCCATATTATTATCTCACTATAATTAAGCTTATTTCCAATTTGTAACCATAACAAAGGAGAAATAATTCCGGGAATAAGAAGTACCGGAACGAAGAGTCCCTCCCGTTTTGTATATGCAAAATAAAATATGGCACGGACACTAAATTCTTTTTTATATAATAGAGATAAAAAAGAAAACATTAGAACAAAATATGGAAGTAAAAAAAGAAAATTATTGATACCAAAATATAATAGTAATACTCCCATAGACTCAATGATTCTTATACTTTATTTTAATTATCAACAATATAATTAATTGGTAATTGTAATGTTGCCAAGGAAATAAAATAAAATAAAATCTGGTTGCGAGGCGCCTTAAACGATACTTTAAATAACACTTCAATACCTATCAGCTATGCGGGTTTGCATAACCACTCCAACGCCGGGGAGATTTATTTTTTCATACGTCAAGTTAGTCCAAAACGATTCTGTCAGACGTTTCCTGAGATTGACTCGCTGATATATTTCAGTGTTTATTTAATATCCTTTCAGTGATCTAGGAATCCAATATCTGTGAGCGATGGTGTAGAGATATTGAATATATGTTTTTTTTTATATTATAAGAGATTTATGAAATAAATACTAAACTATGTTAGCAACAAAATTATATGCAAATTTCCCAGTTTTCAATCGAATGTATTTTTTAAGTTAGAGAAAAAAAATTCAACTTATTGATCATATTAGAGTATTCTACAGCATATCCACTAATTGTCATCATTTGATTTAATGTGACAATTCCATTTTTACACATACAGTAATCCTGCAATGTGTGCATATATTTTATACGTGTACCATGTTAGCAATATAACACTGATTTAAATAAATAGTTACTTTAAAGGAACATAATACATATGAATTTCAACAGATAAAATTATGAAAAAAAGAAAATAATTGAAATTATAATCAATAAAAGAAGAGTTAGTAAAATAGAATAAACAAATAACTAAATATGATGGAAAGAAATTAAGAATTAAGTATAGTCGCGATCATAGAAATTGCATCACCCGGTAAAAATGTTATTAAATTTTATTTCATTTACCATATTGCTATCTGCAAGAGCTCCGGATATTTCTTTGAAAGATGTTCTAAAAAAACCGTAATATTAAGCAGTCAAATAGTTGGGTTTTTTTTTTCTCTACTAGTTTCTTTCTTCCAATCTATGGTGCTTTTTATTTTTATTTTATTTTATTTATTCTTTCAAAACTAGGACTACCGTTGATTGGTGGTACCCTATCCTCGTTACTAATTCTCGTGCGAATTCTTTGACTTCATGTAACGTCAAAGTTTTAATATTTTCTGACTAGGACAGTTTTAGAAACAGTTCATTATTTCAGCTTTTATCCTGATTATGAGTTAAAACTGAACCGGAAAACATTTTTCTTGTAACAAACAGGTTTTCTTGTAACACAATAAGTAAATAAAAGAAAATCCATTGGAATCAACATTATAAACATAAGAATCAATAGAAGTAAGTGATTTCTAGACCCGCGACTGTAACAATATATGTACATTATTTACAATGTACTTTAATAGAATGTAGATTAGTATAATTTGGTATACATCAATTATAAGAACCATTGATGCAATATTAAAAAAAAATGAATAACAGTAGTTTAATTAATAGGTTCGGATAAGTCAATTTGGTACTCGAATGTATCAAATTCTGAGAAATATTTTTTAATCAGATCCTGATTTAAATGGAAGCGTGATATTTGCGAATGATGAAATAAAGATAAAACAAATTTATAAGAAAGATTTAACTTACTTTTCGGAAATTTCTCTTTAGTCTATTTTTTAATGGAATAATCTCGACCCTTTTGAACTGAGAAAAAACTTTTAACTAAACATAAAAGGCGATTTTTTACGTGTAAATAACAATTGTATCAAATGTACTAGTTTGAATATGTTTTCATAGGATTTGGTTGCTGATTAAAATTGCTTGAAACGTCGTGACCGGTTGGGCGTGATGCTTGTACATCTCAAACCTCATTTCTTGTTTAATTTATTATATCCTGGATGAGTCCCAGGAACGAGTCATTCTCCAGGAGAGGGTTGCGCAAAACAAAATAACTTTTAAAAACTCCTGTTCGCGTTTAAAGAAAGTTCTTATTCTATTTTTATTTGTTTAAATTTCATTGGTTAATTTAAAAAAAAAAAAGTTCGCAAGTATACAAAATCGGCTGTCCTCCACGATACCCAGTCCTCATAGTATTGGTGCTTACGAGGCTGGTTCAAAGTTGAAGTATACAAAAGTAAAAGTAGACAATTGAAGTTTACTTCTTTGACGCATTGAAAATGCTGCAGGCGTCCTTAAAATATGAGACCAATAATCGGAACATGTTGAAATTCAATGGTGGTTTCTCCAATATTTTATAAAACAAGACTTAGATAACCGAAATACTAATACATATATGAATTATTAATTATTTGTTATATTTTTTTTTGCTTTATTTTTTTTATTCACACCTGTCATAATGGTAATCACAACCAGTGAATGTGAAGTTGATTCGAAAAAATAATGTCATGAAAGGCATTACGAGGATCAGTGCCCAGCGGCACCTCACTCGGCGTGATATCTACGTTAGGCGAGGAGGTCCCTCATCCAGCTCCTCTTCATTCTCCTACAGACGTTACCTGGCATATTCGTAGTGGCCATGTCATTTATAAGAGTATTAGGATGTCCTTGTAAGTTGTCATAGAATCGTTTGTAATGAGTTCGTATGTGTTCGTTAACAGTCGGCATATGGAGGTCAGTATGTAAGGTTATGTTGCTAACGTACCAAGGTGCTTTTGTGATTGTCCTGAATGTTTTTGCTTGAAAGGTTTGAAGTTTGTTTAAGTGAGTCTTTTTAGCAGTTCCAAATATTTGTGATGCGTAAGTCCAAATAGGTTTTAGTAAGTAATTGTATGTGTTCAATTTCTGTCTAAGTTTTAATTTTGAATTTTTCGAAAGTAGTGAGTTCAGAATTCTTAATCTTTGATTTAGCGTTTTTCGTTTCTTGATTATATGTGGGCCCCACGTCATTTTCTGTCAAATGTCAGACCAAGGTAGTGAACGGTGTCTGTCTGTGGGATCTGTGTATTGTCAAGAAAAATACACATTTGTTATATAATTAGCCAATATATGTTATTCAATTGAAAACCGTAAAAAATCATATGAGTTTTTTATTATTTTCCTTTGTGCAAACCACTCTCGTTGTTTGACCTCATCTAAAACCATCCATGTTGATATTAAATATTTACTATGTATTATAACTTGGAAATTTATGTATATAACTTTTTATTGCAGATTCTTGATAGCAAATGTCTTGTATATACGGATTGGATCTTTAAAGTTTGTAAAGAATAATCAAGAGGCTCGTTCGAGGCCACATTCTTTTGTTTACCCTTGAGCCACTTTTACTTAAGCCCGACCTTCTTAAGCCAAACTACTTTTCAAGTAGTTTAATGAAAGTTATGAATAGCTTACTTCTCTTATACATTTTAAGAAAATGTTAAAATCATTTTCTTGTTTTGCCATAATAATCTTTTTTTTTTTTTTTAAAGTGAGAGAGGAATACTTTATTGAAAGTAGTGCTGCCCTACTATATAGGGTTGCTTTTTACACAGCATAGTGATCAATCCATATGGACATACCTCTTACATCATATTATTACATTATTATATAAACATATCATTTGTTTTTGCCCCTTTTCACAACACTAGTCCATATCGTTAACCATACCACATTATGCAATACATGTACTTTATGAAAAAAATATATTCGAATGCTAGAAGTACAAGACTAAATCGCGCACATATTTCAAAGCAATTACTTGAATATAGATAAAAAGGTAAGACAAATTAAAAAAATTAAAATCAAATAAATAAATAGATAAATGACAAAGGACATTATAGATTCAGAGTCAATTGGTATACAAGTGATAGTGGATGATCCCTAGGGTGTCCAGGATAATATTCTCGGCCAACATCGCAAGCTCCCCAACATCAACACCTAGATCTTTGTTCTTTTTGGGGTCGTTCCGCGAGAGCCAAATCAGAGGCCTCTCACGGTGAACTCTCTCTCTCCGAAGGTCTCACGGAACTTCTCTTTTAGGGAAGAGATACATTTATCGTATATGTTTTTCTTTTCTCTTTCTACTTCATCCACCTGATCGAGATCATTGCTCTCAAAGCAAACAGTTGGATCCAAGATCATAGCCGTCTTTCCTGTTTTCGGAAATACAAGAATGTTCGCATTCCTAGTCGAACCTTCTTTGACAATGCAATATACCTTGTCGAAACAGGCGAATTCGCTTTCTCTGAGGAGCCTCACCAAATCAACCTTAAGACTAATTGAAACTAATTCAAATTAATGGGAAAATTAATACCATGATTTTTTTCCCAGATGAATTTAGAAGCAAAACAGCTTGCGAAAATGAAGTTGTCCAGCTGCAGTGTGGGCCCAATTCCAGAATCGCCATATATTCTGCCTCCTATGGAAGAACCCAATACGAAAGTGTCCAGTGCCCGCAAACTCAAGGAGTGCCCGAAGAAAGTACGCTCTGTTTTTAAAAATATTATTTTGCAATTAAATAATTATATTGTAAATAATAATAATATATTCTAGCTTGTTTGGCGGGCTACGCGACTGAAACGGTTATAAGATTCTGTCATGGGAAAAGGCGATGTGCTCTTTCTGTGGATTCAGGTACCTTTGGCAGCCCTTGCAGAAAAGAATCGAGGATGTACCTGAAAGTCGTTTACACTTGTGGTGAGTTTGGTTGTTATTTATTAATGTAGCGGATTCCTTAAGTCGAGGATCTCATTATAATTTTTCAATTCGCAGTGCCAAGGCAGGTTCTGCTGACTAATTCAGAACAGCTGCAAGAACTGGATGAGCCTTTGGACCCGTCAGAGGACTGGCTAGACTACGAAGAAGAGGGTCAAGCTGCCCCCAACACTAGCGGTCACCACAACTCAAGCACCGCATCCAACGAATCCATCACTCTCCATCATAACCGTGGAGGTTGGTATACTATTTTGATTTAATATTAACATGAACCGAGAAACAAATAAATAATGCTGCTTTATGACATTCATATATTGTCATGTAAACGAGTTTGTTCTAAAAACTCACTAAGATATAAAAACCGATGTTAGGTAATAATCGAAAAGTTAGGATCACACAGTCTAGTATCTCTAAAATATAGGTAAAGAATAAAATAGCCCATCAATGTTTCATCAATTTAGGAGTAATCAGGATAAAATACCCCAAGGTAACATAACTCCATGACGTCCAATCCCACATTTTAAAAGAGTTTGTTTAAATTATCTTACTTTTCTGGCCTTGTGGTGGCTAAATTGGCGAAATAGTGACGGGTTATTTCATTCTTTATTTGCAGTTTAGGTATGAAAGAATGTAAGGTAGATATTTTTCAGTTACAGACTAACAGTTATATAGAAATATAAAAATTTATGCTGTATTTTTATATAATCTTATAGTGTGTTGTATTCTAATAGCAGAATACAATTAAGCAGGATCTCTTATTTAGTAAAGTGTCCTCTAATCTATAAATTTGAAAAGAAATATTTAACTTTTCAACTGATCATGAACAGCAGTTAAACTTCCTAACATTTTTTCATGTATCTTAATTATATAACTAATCTATCAAATTATTTAGGAATTTTCGAGGTTTAGATCCTAAATTACCACAGCTTATATTTTTTTAGATATTTATCTGGGACAGCTCAGAGAATAAGATTCTGATTTCCAATGTTCAAGGTCCTAGGTTCGAGTTCGGCATGTAATTATTTATTCTGCTAGATCAGCCGTGGATCAACGACGGGCTCAGAAGACCATTCTGAGGCATACCCAGTCTCTATAAAATGAGTACTCTTTATAAAATAATTAATAAGGAGAAAACCTAGCGGTTCAGCGTGATCTTTGTTTAATCACCCCTCAGCACAACTATTTCTAACAAAGTACTGAATACTTATCCCTCCATAGGTTGTATTGGTACATTTTTTTGTTTTATAAAGCCTACTTCACTCTATACCATTTCTTGCCGCAACTGGGCTTATTCTGCTTTATACACAGCATGTATGTATAAATAAATACACATATTTAAATATATCGAAATCGTACAAAAAGTAATATAAATGATCATTATGGAAAAAATTTAGCTTAAGATGAGGTCCACCTCCTTGAGCTCAAAATGTCAAAAATGAAGAGGCGAATTGATTGTATAAATAATAAAGAATTGAAAAGTAAAAAAAAAAAAATCTATCAATTATTAAATGTTCCTGAAACCTTCCAGACAAGGTAAAAACGTAAATTTAACATATCCTATATATTTATTTGTACGGTTTTTCGAATGCTTCCATTAAATTATTAAAGAGTAAGGATAAAAGACTCTAAATAAATAAATCAGCCATTTTCTTTTAAGGTGATGCAAGTTCGTTTTTCACCTAAAATTATTTGATGATATCATTTAATGCAAACTGTTATGAGTTTTTTTTGTCTGTAAACAAATAAATTTCTTCAAAACTTTTATCAATATGTCTATACAAGTTTAAGTAGTCAAACTTAAATAATTAAATTACAAATACAATTGCTTTGAATGTCGTCTAAGTCCACTTTCCACAAAGATATAATGTCTACTCTTTAAATTATACTGAGTAATTATTAAATTATATTGCATCATTTCGCTACTGTATATTTATAAATGTAAATTCAGTGTTACTGACAAAATTTTTTGTTCTTTCATAGAAAAATTTTCATTCTCTCTTATTCATTTTTATTAATAAAAATCGTAAAATGAGAATATAAAAAAAAAAAATGCTTTAACACGACAACCCATGAACGGTTTGGATTCAGTACTTTGTAAGGAATTGCTGTTTCCTGGTATTCTCCTTTATTCAATAAGTTAATTAAAGGGACCCCTTTTATTGAGGCTGGGTGTGCCCCTGGAACGTTTTCTGATCCTTTTGTCTGTCCATGGCCGACGAAACAGAATAAATCATTTATCTTCCATCATCGGGATCCGAATGTCCTTCCGAATGTCCTTGAGCATTGGAAGTCACTGAGCTTCTCCACTCCCTCGAGTGTATTATATTACATATAATATATTATATAATATTCAAATAATTTAAATGCCGATCATTAAATATCCCTATATAACATAAAAATGAATTAAACATAAATAAAAACGGTACAAATAATAATTTTTGGCATAGTTTAATTGTAAAGTAATATATTTTCCTTTATCTTCCAGATTTGATGTCAACATATCCTCCAAACAAAGATGAAAAATCTTCAGGTAATATTTTATTTTATATTTAAATCACTGCTTATAATAATGGTAATCAGGTATAACACGCTTTGCACTTGTTAAAATTTTTTATCACACTTATTCTAATTTTCAGCTGTAATTAAATAACTGTAATTAGCTTTTTATTTACTAATAAATTTCATACTAACATGCACATGTAATATTTTTAAATATATGTGAATAATGTGTTGAGTGAATCAAATCATATTTTTGGAATGACGCAATGAAAGTTTGGAATTTTAAGGTGCAAGTTCAAGTTTAATGTTTCAACTCTTATACGAATATTCAATTATATTTATATCTATGGATATTCAATGAATATTCATTTCTGAGGAATATTAAATAGCGACATGACATAGCCCATTAGAAAGAAAGAAAGGGATACAAATTTGCTTTCTGATAATACTTATAAAATATCACAAAATTGCACTTAACACACTATTCGCAGGTGCTACAGATATATTTTTATATGCTCTATAAATTTAACGGTAGAATAAATTAATTAATTAGTTGCCACTAATAGATTTTATTGTAATAATGTAATAAAAATCCCAAATACATATTTTCACATTTAACAAAAACTAAAATAAGGATAAAGATAGAAAAGATGCATGAGGTGATTATGGTATAAATTGAAAAAAAATCCCAATTACAAAGCCGTGAGTTTCCAACATTCAGGTGAATAATTAACTTGTCAACGTTTCGCAAATTAAGGTATCATCAGGACAGGAAAAAAAAAGAACACATATATGAAGAATAAAAAAAAACAAAAAAAATATTGATGTTGACATTTCACGAAGCCATCCAAATCTATAATGAAGAAAATGGAAGGTTATATTCAACAGCTGATTAGCAAGAATATAAAGAAAGAAAATAAGCATACCTAAAACATAGTAATACAAAACGTTTAAATAAAACAAATTTAATAAAATAAAAAAATAATAAATTCACGAATTCAAGACAAAAATCTCTAAGCTCTCTCTCTCTAAGACTCTTACGAAATAAATCATCCATTTTCTTTTAAAGTGATGCCAGTTATTTTTTTACCTTAAAATTAATTGATGTTATATACAATATAAACCTATTAATAATAATAACATCTAATATACAATATAATGTTTAATTTTTAAATTATACTGCATTATTATTAAATTATATTGCATCATTTCGTTACTTCATATTTATAGATGTGAAAGCACTGCTATTGACCAAATTTTTCGTTCATTCATTGAAATTTTTCCATTCTCTCTTTTATATTACATCACAAATTTAGAAAAATAATAAACAATATGGTGATTTGGCTTGTTTGTTATTTTATTTAATTTAACACGTTTTGTATTATTGTATTTTAGCTATGCATATTTTTTTCTTTATTTTCTTTCAAATTTTCTGTTCAATATAACCTTCTTTAGCTGTGTTAATAGAACCCTCTCTTTCCTTCGGTATGGATTTGGATGGCTTCGTAAGATGTCAATGCAATATATTTTTTTTTCATATTTTGTTTTTCTGTTTTTTCTTTGTGGATATATGTGATCTTTTTTTTTCTAACCTGATGATTCCTGACTTGGCGAAAAGTTGTCGAGTTAACTATTCACGTGTATGTTGGAGATACCTGGCTTTCCATTCAGACCATTAAATAAATAGAAGATCAGTAGTATGTGTTTAGTTATACCTGTTGATAAAGTTAGTTCAAATAGTTGATTCATACCATAGAGATTCCACCTATCAGGAAAAGTGTCGATATATGTTGAATGTTAAGCAAGTTGTTAAACTTTTCAAGTTGTCCCTAGCAGCTAGGATCCCAACTCTGCTACTTACAGCAAACTTTACAACAATTACTTAACTGTAACTAAAGTAGAGTCTCTTACTCTAAATTGTTTACATGACGCAAACAACAGTTGCTTAACTTTATATGTTTGGAAACTAATGCACCTAGATATTTCATTTAATTATTCACTATACAATTAATTTATATTCCGAGAATTCTGTCCCTTGTTATATATGTATAAGATTTAGAGCCGTATTTCTTAAATTTAGAGCATCTTTTATGAACATTCCCAAGAAAGGTTCATCATGAATACTTTACTAACGTTTGTTAACGACGTATAATATAAAACTATTTTATGAATGGTCAAAAAATAAAATCAACTTTCTTTTTTGGCGTCCTTCATGGCTAAAGAGATATTAGGAAGAGGAACAGAAATTCCTTTAATAATGCAGATTTGATAAGTAAGTACTCCAATGAGAAGTTATTTATTACAAAAGAATAGTGTTCAAAATGGGTCAAAATGTCAGAATTCTATTAAAATATTTTTATATAATTTTTATTTTCATTCACATAAACAGGGTGTCTCAGTCCTTAATAACCAAACTCTGGGAGGGAGGGGGGCGATTTCAGACAAAATTTCCAACAAAAAAGTTATATGTTTACATGTTGGCGTTTCGGGATATTTACTCTTATCTTCAGAACTACAATTCCAATGTTTTTTTGTTGATTCATGGCTAAAAATTGAGTTAAATATGATGCTTGTTACAATACATGTCAGAATTGAATTGTTACATTAAGTTTGTAATTAACTTAAGACTAATGTGCACCATTGCCAGGTTCTAAATTCATGTTGTAACAAATTAAACTATATAATATCCAGAGCTTCAACACGCATTTAAAAATTTATTGGTTGTCTGCCATGGTGAA